AGTGGTACCCTAGTGGTCAGTGATATGCTAATTTTTCAGTTTGTCTACCATCACTAAGTTCTAAATTTTAGACACAATTTGCAAATCAGTCAAATGTGCCGATTAAGTTGTCGGCTGTTATGCCTAATGTAGCCTAATGCAATGTTATCTGGAATCCTACTGGCTCTAAATTAATCACTTCCATGGTAATACTCTAACATCTCCAACTGGCGGAAAAGGTAGTAGAGTAGGTGTTGAAGGGACCCTATCCTGATTGGTTCTTAAAAATAGAATCGTTATCCAGTTTGTGGTCAGCCTCTATCCCTGAAACATTCACACATTAGCTACCAAGTATACTCGATCCTCAGATAGCAAGGAGTGTTAAACATTAGCATAGCCAGCATAAACGCGTTGGCCTAACGTTGTTATTCCTAGTTTATGGTAAAAAGGCTACAAAATGTAGACAATATGTATGTAGATAATATTATTTCATTTATTTGTAGTCAAGTCATAGAAAGAAGCAATATTAACAAAATTGCAATGTATACGTAGACAATATATATTTTTATTATTTGACAGCAAAAAATATGTTTGATATAGTATAGGATTTTAGACAATAAATATCCATCACTATCGATTGAAAATGATATGTAATAGCATATTTGTAGCCAATTGTGGTATTGGCTGACCACCAACCAATGTATGTTGAGTAGCCTCACAGTAACTACTCTTCGTTTTAAAACCAAGGAGTAATTTAGAAAAGTGTAGAAAATTTACAACCCATCCCCCCGCGCCAAATCAACCCACCTTATATTTCTGTGTCTAAAACACTTCGTTTGCTTTGGACTACGGTGCTTGTATTTCCTTCTACCTTCTTATTATTGTGTTATTTAAAATTTATCAGTAACAGATTTTCTCCGAGGATATTTCCAACAATCCCCCAACCAAAAAAGGGGGCCTGGGACCAAAGGCGAGTAGTATCCATACGACATTAAACAATATAATGCTTTTTCATTATATAATTACTCCCAGAGCTTATACCCAGGCTATCAGCTGTAGACACAAGGCTCTACAGAGTTGCTAAACCAAGATACTCTGTAGTCTGGAGGTGAGAAGTAGTCTCTCGTATTGTTCCCACACCACGGTGACGTCATAATCGTACTTCCGGTGTCTCCTCGGACGAGAGGCTAAAGACGGTGACACACTATCGATCTTTTCCCCGAACAAGACCCCGAACCGAGCAGGGAGAAGGGAGAAGGGAGGTCGAAGGGAGGATGTTCGATAGTGTGTCACGGGTCCGTACACCGATCAAGACGCCGAACAAGACATCAGGCCGAGCAGGGAGACGAGCGCTCTGGAGGCGGTTTTTTGGCGAAAGATCAAAGAAAAGATCGGTCCGATGTACGGTCCGATGTACGATAGTGTGTCACGGTACATTTTTGCCCCGTACATCGTCGCGAGCGCCGCACCGAGCGGCCGCCTGCGCTAGCATTGATAGTTCCGCGCTCTCACTCGCACACTCTCTCTATCTCTCTCCAAACTTCCTTTTGCCGCGCTCGGTAGAATTCGTCTGGTCTTGGTCATGTTCGGGGAAATGTTCGGAGTAAAATTTTGCTGATATTTATCTCCCTTCTCCCTTCTCCCTGCTCGGTTCGGGGTCTTGATCGGGGAAAAGATCGATAGTGTGTCACCGCCTTAATTACCACAGGAGCTGGTTGTACCTGAGGAGGTGTTAAGTGCCTCCCCTCCCCTCCCCTCCAATCACGTTCCTCCCTACAATCACTGCTAGGTACAACATGCAATGTGCGAACGACATTTAGACATTTTAGACTATTATATACTACCGCAGTCTTCTCACCATGTGCAACTAGCATAGCAGAGAAGTAAGTTCAAATAATTGAGCTATAACGGCATTTTGCTGGTGCAAAATACCGTTTTCGCCTGCAGCAAAAACAACCGTTTTCAATACATGCGCTGTGGGTCTGAATGAAGTAGTTTTTTTCTCCCTAGTGAGTACAAAGATTGTCTTAGTCCCTAAAGAGTAAAAATCAGCCTTTGTTAACTCAGCTGTGAGCTTCGATTGTATGCAATGTATCGAAAGTATGTATCGATTGTTTTAATCGGTTAGAGCTTATTAGTCCAGGAATTTTAGGGATAAAACTGTCATTCGACCTAACAAATTCGGACTAAGTGGAAACTTTGCACAGTTGTTTAGTAAGCCTATATAAATAAAATATCAAAAGTCCCTATAAATCCCGGCTGTGCTTCAGCCGCCATCTTGCAAAATGGCGGCCAATTTTCACTTTTTTGACATTATTTCACAAACTATTGGTATTAGAGAATTTCTGTAAATACAAAAGTTAAAGAACGTCTAAAAATACATATTTTTTATATTACAAGGATTGCTCTATCTCTAACGGTTATTGAGATAAATAATAAAAATAGTATTCAATTTAAAATTCCCATGTTATTCTTATGGAGGAAAATACAATTGTTGCAGTTTGCTTATTTATGTATATATTTGGATCAAACTTGGCAAATTTATTTATTTTATACCAAGCTATTAATATTTAACATGAATACACGCTTTATTACTCTCCCCATAGCATTGAACCTAGTTAGTACTCGTTAAATTTAAAGTTACCGTATTTAAATAGGGATTATTCTTACATTTTTAGGAAGTAGTTTAGTAACGATCCAGTCAGGCAAACGGAAATTTATTTTTTGGCAGATTAACAATAGTTTTCCCTTATTAGTATTAAAGTTTAAGGTCCACTCACTACTATGTAACTACTTACATGGTAAGCCTACTTATTACTCCCGGTATAATTATTTTGTCGGTGAATATTAGGAAATTCAACCTTAAAACCCTGACTAAATGCGACTGAGCACAGCCGGAATTTGTGGGGACTTTTGCCATTTTCATCAACTAGACTTACTGTGCTTAACTGTGCAAAATTTAAATTTAATCCGGATTTTAAGGTTGAATTTCCTAATATTTACCGACAAAATAATTATACCGGGAGTAATAACCATGTAAGTTTTGAGTAGTTACATAGTAGTGACAAGATAGTTAGTGAGCTTTAAATCATAATACTAATAACAAAAAAATATTGTTAATACGATTTACAAATGAATATCCATTTACCTGACTGGATTTACAGGAAAAATTTATCCTAAAAATGTAATATATATTCCCGGTATAAACAACTTTAAATTAAACGAGTACTAGGTTTACTGCAATAGGGAGGGCACTAAAGTGTGTATTTATGTTAAATATTAATAGCTTAGTATAAAATAAATAAATTTGCCAAGTTTTATCCAAATATATCCATAAATAAGCAACCTGCAACAATTTTATTTTCCCCCGTAAGAATAACATGGGAATTTTAAATAGAATACTAACTTCTATTATTTATCTTAATGTTAGAGATAGAGCAAACCTTTTAATATAAAAAAGATGTATTTTTAGACGTTCTTTAACTTTTGTATTTACAAAAATTCTCTAATACCAATAGTTTGTGAAATATTGTCAAAAAAGTGAAAATTGGCCTCCATTTTCCAAGATGGCGGCTGAAGCACAGCCGAGATTTATGGGGACTTTTGATATTTTATTTATTTAGGCTTACTAAACAACTGTGCAAAGTTTCCACTGAGTCCGAATTTGTTAGGTCGATTTTCCTAATATTCTTCCACTATATTGCCCCTGTAGCATTCTTCTAAGCATTTATTGTATTTGCTGAATGTTCAAAAATCTGAATAGATTGTAGATAAAATTGTGATAAAAAACCGACTGCATTGCAACATTGAAAACAAACTGGAAGTAATTTGGAGAGGTTATCTATACATAAAACGTATTTTCGTTTTCTAACTCTGTATGCCTAAATAATTGTGCAATGTAACGAAAAATGTAGTTCATATCACAAGCAAATGTGTCTATTTAATTCTCTTCATTTTCATAGTGAACCTCATGCTCGGTTTGAACAGTCATGAGTGATGAAATATACTATCGCGTGCTCATACGCCAGTTTTTCAATAATTTCAACCTGAAAGGACAACAAATTTTAAACTACGAAATCTCATGTGCCCATCAGTTATCCGTAGCTTCTTTGATAAAAAATAGAACCTACCTCTCTAGCTATGCAATAAGCAATACCTTAACTATCATTAAACCACAAATCAACAACTTATAGTGCTGAGAAAATAAACACTCCAATTTAGTTTTTTTTTTCTATTATGCACTGAAGCCAGTGATTTTATGGTTTTATTGAACTTCATGTAATAAACACTAAAGCAGGTTAAAGTAAAAAATATAATATTTAATAATAATTAGGTAATAAAATACACTTACTTTAAAGAAAGGTGGTATTCCGAGGTAGTTTGGGTACCTTTTTTTTTCAAAACAAGACCAACAATCAATACAAATGGAAGAAAACATAATTATTGTTAGCCTAATTTGGCGTGGGCCTATCAAAATCTCATTCTATTGTAAAATTAAAAGCTTGTTTAGGGTTAGTGTTTCATGTCAAAACACGCTTGAATGAATTTTTGTTAACAACATTCCTCTTTCTTATTCTACGGTTAATTTTACCTGCGAGCTTTAGGATTTCTTTATACACGTTGAGAATAAACACTAATTAACTAATATTGTTCTATATGGTAGCAATAGTTAGTTAAATAACTTACATAACTTACAAATACAGAGAATACATCAACAAATTCAACTGTTTCCAAAATAAAATTTAAGGTAAACATTTGGTTGTCACAGCTATTATTGTATTATATATTAAATTTAACTATACTATGAAAATACGTTTTGTAATCAATTGTATCATTAATATATACTAAAGTTCGTTAAATCAATGTTACTCGTTACAATATCACTATCTAACATTAGTCTGTCTACGTTCAACGTCTTTGACTTACCATAATTTATATTTTAAACGTCTTTGCAAACCTGGCCAAACACGAACAGATGTGAACACAACAATAGGTTGTTTTCTTTGCGTTGACAAGTCACTTCGAGTCAACACGATTCCGAGGACTGTTGTAAGTTTGTAATTTTCAAATTCAGTAACGTAAGTATTAGTGTTTTTCTATCATGGTACGTTACGTAGTCCAAGAAGCTGTATCACCGCTTCAAGTCTACAGTAGACTTCGTCTAATCACTCGTGAATTCCTTCTGTCGCAGGTTCCTGAAGCAATGTAAGTCAACTTTCATTTTTGTCGTAAGAGATTTAGATTTTGGTAAAGTTTGTAGGCTATTTAGCAACATCGTGAATTCAAGCTGTTTGTTCGTTTATGAAATTTTACAGCTTTCATAACATCAGCTGTGCAGTGTGAATTTGAATTATATGTACGTACTGTCTACGGTTTCTATGGACGAAAACAATAATGTAGATATCACCTATCACGTAATATAATTAAGGCTTAAAGTGATTACAATTTAACATGACGAATATACCACTGAGAAGTGTAAAGAGATTGTTCAAATGCGTGCAATTATTAACTGTAATTCAAAGTAGGCTAACATTATTGTGTATTATTACCAATTGTGTAAGTAATTATGGGGATATTTGACATATTGCTGTTTATTACAATATGAATCAATTGTTTCATAGCGGTTCTACATTTTGCCATCCGTGGCCACTGAAAGCTAATAAAACCAATCACCAATTATGGACATTTTTCTTCGCATTTTCAACATTATCTTCATCGTTCCTTGCTAATCCTTTTCGTAGGCCTATACTTTGTTTTACTTTTCAGTTTTCTGAACCAAAACCTTTTTTGGGAAATAATTGCCTAGACCTATCGTATATGGTCCTTCAAAATTTAGTTTCTGTAATTGGCCTACGATTGCTTCACCGGAATTAACGTCACACTATCAGCATTTTTGGCTAGCCTTACCGAAATCGGCTTGTTATTTTTAGGGAACTTTATTTCTAGCCATTGTCTAATTAACCATGGGGAGGGAGGGCCGCTAACTCTGTACAGGAAGGACGCGCACCGTGGAGCGTAGTTCCTGCAATCACGTCAGGGTCGTCGTACTCTATTGTACTGTGTACCATACCTTACCATGGCACACCATACCTTACTATGGCATACCATACCTTACGATGGCAGACCATACATTGCCATGGCACACCAAACAATACCATACGGTACCACACCATGCATTATCATGGCACACTATACATTACCATACCACACCATACCTCACCATTCCTCACTACACCTTGACATGGCACACCATATCATGCAATACCATATCACACTATACCACAACAGGCCTCTCATAAAGAATTTTAAAATTTCGTCACTGTGTTCAGCCATTGAATATAATAGCCTATATACTAGTCAATCAATGGTTAAAATTTCATGTACATGAAGGGGATGGGAGTAATGAATGTGGACCCAATGCACAGAAAAAGATCAAATAGGCCTATATGGGTTTTTTCTAAAATTTATTCCTGCAATACACAAGACAAGCTGTAAGCAGTGCCTATGACATTCTGTACCACAGTTAAACTGGGACCAAGCGGGATTAGAGAGCAGACCTTCAGTCTTGGAGTTCGAATACAGCCAATCACGAATGGGATATTTAGGTAGTTTGGTGTTCTGAGACCCTCTTCATCTGTAAATCCGCTATGTATTTAACAATATATTACGTTTCTTAGTCGCATAGGCAAAACTTTACGCCGTGGAAACAACCGTCTCCAGGCCGCAGATGTACCTCTATGAAAAGCCATGTGTTGGGAAAATATAATACAAAGATTTTCATATTCGTTACGAGGCCGGGAATAAGGAATCGATTATTTTGCAGCTATTGATAAAACAACAGCTGGTTAAAATTCAATTGCGTAAAGGAACCGGCTGTTATGCTTTTTTTTTGGTGTTGTTTCCATTGGGCAGTGCAATTAATTATCTAAAACCTCGTTGCCGGTTTTGTCGTTGATAAACAACGAGTTTTATAACTGAAGTGAAATTTAATACTTATACAGTACAATTCACTTGTATAGCACTTTTTAATATCTTATTTAACTTTTATCGCCTAATCTTTTGACTCGAATCACACTTAACTGTTTTTGTTAAACTCCCAATTTGCGGTAACCCCGCAACACCTATAGTAAACAAGTTGATGTAACAGACTAGATGGGTTGATGGGTGAGCATTAATTGTTGTTTAGTGGAGGTGGTTGAGCTAATTGGGAGTCCAAGGTCTCTCGTCGCTAACAAGATCATTACCGTCGTACACGGACCATGAGCATTACGGCTCTGACTCCAATCTACAGGTGCTAAGTGCAAGATCCAGAACTATAGTCTGAATAATGGAACCTGTCTCTTGACACTTCGTCTAGCAGAGTCTGGCCCGGGCCTTAAACCATTGGACAGACCCCAGGTCATAAAACATGTAGTCCTATGCCCCAGGTAGACTGAGTTCCAGGTTATAGACAGGTTCTATCATACAGAATAGAAAGTAAAACTGTGACAAGGATTAGGACTTTATACAACTTTTTTTGCTGTCGCTGAAGCGTAAGTGGTCGGAATGTCACTCGTCACACGTTATACGTAATAGGGCAGATTTACTGTGTTAACAAATTTGTGAGAGTATTTCCCTTAAAATTAAGAATTTCTCAAATCGCACATATAGGTACTCCGAATTTGTTACTTCCAATATAAATCAATGCTTTACTTTTTTTTTAATACCAATACTTGATTTTTTCAATCAGTGTAGACATTGATAATAGTACAGAAAACGAATACATTTTTATAATCGTATACACAAACGAATACCACCTCATGAAGAGAAAAAACAATGATAAGTATATTTTTATTTAGACATCATAACGACTCATTTCACTTAGTATTTGTAAATATTAAATTTTCTATAGCCGGTAAATTTAGATGTAGCTGTTGTACGCGTGCTTTGCAACGGAGAGGACACCGAGGACGCTGAGGAAAAACATATGTTCAGTTAATAGGCAAAAAAGAATCGCACAACATAAAGTAGGTACTGTAGTAGAGCAAAACACAATTTATATTGATTTCACATAATTTATAAATAAAAAACTTTTTTAAAACAAAAAGTTTTTAAATGTACTAAAAAGTAGAAAATAATTTATAAATATGTGGAGAGTATAAATACTTGTAAGATTCAAACGAAAAACGTGGGGTGCATGCAATAGATAATTTACAATTACCTTCACCTATTGAACTAATGTATTATTATCACCCCACGTTTTTCGTTTTAAATCTTACAAGTATTTATACTCTCCACATATTTATAAATTATTTTCTACTTTTTAGTACATTTAAAAACGTTTTGTTTTAAAAAAGTTTTTTATTTATAAATCAGTTTCTACTTTTTAGTTTTTAATGTGTGTGGATGTTAAATCTATTTCATGCATCTATATCAGATTAGGACTGAGGCATGTAGGAAATCTAAGGTTTATTTGAGTTTCTTTTCATATAATTATGTATTAGATTGAATGCATGGCCTACCTACTAACTATAAATATATCAATCTATTTAATTTATTGTTTACTTTATAGAATACTAAATAAATAACAAATGACATTATTAACAAACACCTTTATATCTGCAATCAGATTGTTTATCTTTATTTTGAAATGTTTGTTTGTATAAAGAATCTCTTGGGAGCAGAACCTGTACCTCTTAACCTCTGCTTTTTTAACCGTCAAATTTAAGTATTTACAACTGACTTTAATTAATTGATATATTTACATTCTTTCAAAATGTAAATATGAAAAATTTGGAAGCCAGTGGGGCGTAGCCCAAGGGAAATATGAAAATTAAATGCTATAATATTGCATTGTCATCCACTTGTGAGCTAAGTTTCAAATTTTAAGTCTCTAGCTCATCGGGAACTTCGTTTAAAATTGATATCAAAATTTGTAGGAAAGTGAGCTAACAAAAACAAGCCTATGGGGCGTAGCCCGAGGGAAATATGAAAATTAAATGTTATAATATTGCATTGTTATCCATTTGTCAGCTATGTTTCAAGTTTCAAGTCTCTAGCTAATCGGGAAGTATCAAAATTTTCATGAAAGCGAGTTAATAAAAACAAGCCCGTGGGGCGTAGCCCAAGGGAAATATGAAAATTAAATGATATAATATTGCATTGTCTTCCATTTGTGAGCTATGTTTCAAGTTTCAAGTCTGTAGCTCATCGGGAAGTTAGTATAAAATTGATTGCAAAATTTGTACCGGACAAGAAAGCGAGCTAATAAAAACGTTTTAATAATAATAAAATAGATATGTTTTCCCTAACTACTGATCTTTTGTCATGAGTCATTACCTGCAGCTCATTATGTAAACATCACAGTAAGCAAAAATAAAAATATTGGAAAACCTGTATTACATTTTGGTAGAAAGCCAACCCCATAATTATTGGTCATCAGGACACAAATAATATCATCAATGTAAATAAGAAATCAACAACATAGAATACATAACAGTTTTTATTTTTACTTTTTTCATAGTTCATAGTATTTACATTAATTTACACGCGAACCATTTAGTAAAGAAACATAGTTATAGATTTTGATTTTGACAGAATTGATTTTAGAAGTAAAATTGAATTGAGTACAGCTTAGTTTTGTGATATTCTCCATAGTTAAATGAAATCAGTGTTGTAGAAAAACACAACAACTCCGTTACTCAAGTTGTTGTCAAAAATATTAGGCTAATTTACCTTTATAAGTTTTAGTGAAGTGTACATATACAACAGCAAACACTTTGAATAGCCTACCATTTAATAAACCATTAAAATACACTAATTTCGCTATAGCTCTTTAAACAATAAAGATACCAGAAACCATTAAATGCAAAATTGTAGCTAATTTTAAGGACTACAATGTGGTATGTGATGAAACCCATATTGTCATTTGACATTTTTGAGATAGCAGCTTTTGAAAACTCAAAAAGTTCAAAATGCGTTACATAAGTAAAAAGTTAGGAAAAGGGTTGAAACCAGAGTTTTTTTGAAAGCTCATTTAGCAATTAAAATGTTATCGACATTTCAACAGCCCACGAAATTTCACCTTACTGCAGTGAAAAGTAGTTCAAAGGTCTATTTGTTGTACGTTTTTGAACACCCTGTAAACAGGGATGGAAATAATTTAAATCTTTTGCCACTAAAATACTCAGGACTCAAAAGATCTTGAACATAGCACGACACCCATT